AAAAAAAAAAAAAAACTTTTTGTAAATTTGGGATTTTTTTTTTTAAGAAAAATCAAATAACATAACAATTTAATCATCAAGCATCAATCATAAAACTTGTTTTTACAATAATTTTACATTATTAAAAAATCATTTTACTAATAACTAATTCTTCGATAATTATACATACATATCATAATATACATTACATAATTTTTAATATAATAATAAAAACAAAGTAATAAAAGTAATAAATAATATATTATTATTATAATTAACAAAATAAAAAGTTTTCAGGATCAACAAAAAAAGTCAGGTGTAACAACATTTTTTGCAATACATAAAATACATAAATACAGATTGTTCTAAAAAAGTTTTTCATTTTAATTATTTTAAAAATATTTTGTTTGATTATCATTAAATCATTAAATCATTAAATCGGAGATAACCGTTTATTAGACCGTTCGGATTTCAAATAACAATTAAATAGCCACATTATATCTGTCTCTTATACACATCTAGATGTGTATAAGAGACAGCATAAATACAGATTGTTCTAAAAAAGTTTTTCATTTTAATTATTTTAAAAATATTTTGTTTGATTATCATTAAATCATTAAATCATTAAATCGGAGATAACCGTTTATTAGACCGTTCGGATTTCAAATAACAATTAAATAGCCACATTATATTGTGAAATTAATTAATCAAATTTCCGGATCAACTTTTTTTTTTTCGCTTTATAAAAAAAAAAAATGATATTTTATTATTAATTATTTTTAATTAATTTAAGTCTCGTTCTGAATGAACATTCAAAATTGGACCAAGTGAGGTAAAAAAATTTGTTGATCCTAAAAATGTTCTGGTAATATTCCTTTTTTTGATAGGCAAAAAAAAAAATCTGATCGGACTAATACCATTCTGGATGGTCATGTTATACTGTTATTTACTGTTATACTTTATACTTTGAAAAAGACGATCGATGAGTTCGTAGATATAGCGTAAACATGCGGTGACAGAAATTAAATGAACATCATTAATCTTAGTAATACAATCGAAAGCTTATGTTATCATTAGGTTCGATAAGAAAATCTTATATCACAAAATATTCCCGGGCTCACGAGTAAATCAAGTGAATTATTATCACAAAGTTGCATTTATGGAAGTATTATAAGGTTTAGTTGGGATTGGATTTTGATATATTAAAAATTTCGATATAATGATATAAAATATCAGTATAATTTGGATATAATGATATTTTTTTTTTTTAATGATTTTCATATGGGTCCCAACATATCGTTCGTTATATCGAAGACCAAATTGAGAGGGATCCTCATCAGGGCGGAAATGCATTGAAATGCATAAGACAGGATAACTTACAGCTTTTAAGTTATAACATTAACTTTATATAGACATTATGATGTTTATGTTATTCGTGGAGAAAGTTCATTTATGGAAAAAGTTCAGTTATGGATATTTTTTCACCGGATAACGATATGGATATTTTCACCAGGGGATGATATGGGGGATATGTTTCACCAAAGTGACTTTTTGTAAAGTACACTTACACCTTAAAGGAAAGATGGCATTTTTTTTTTTTTTTAGTCATGTCTGAAACAAAACAGTTCACACCATCCTGATTTAATAATATTTCATATTATGGATCAAATTGTAGAAAAGATTTATTGATAAATGACATTAAAATCACATTGATCTCAAGGTAAATAACAAAGAAATTTGTAGATGAAATACTTTTTTGATCATGTTCATGCATTTTTATCTAGCTACTTCAGTGCTACTTTCTATTCAATTTCTTAGATGAAGAAAGGTTCGAATATGAATATATTGATGATATCATTGATTTTTATTATACTGATAATTTGTATGAATGACGAATGATAATAACTCCACATTGGGTTTAAAGTAAAATGAAAATATAAATAAATGTGCTTTTAATATTAAACAAAATACGTATACAAACATTATTATTTGTTCTGATCTTTTGGACAAAAATTATATAAAAATTAAATATTATTATTATTTTTTTTTTTTCGTGCAATAATTTATAAAACTATATTGATACTAAAGGATTTATGCATTTCAAACTCCAATTATATTTCACGTATTCACGATTACAAAAAACCTTAATGATAAAAATCGTTACCATTAAAAATAATTATTTTTTCATATGATGAAAGAATGAAAAAAAAAAAAAGAGGGAGTCCAGGGGATGTTCAAAAACTTTGTACCAAATTGCTAAATTTGTGTAAATCTTTAATTAGTTAAACAAACAATAGTCAATTTATTTTATTGTACATTTTAAGAAATTTTATTTATCGGTATGACGAATGAAAAAAAAAACACTAATTATTATGAAATATTATGAGAGGTCATGAACATGTCACGCGTACAGTTTAGTTTTTTTTGGGGGGGAGAAAATCAAACTTGGGGAAAAAATTCATATTATTATTATTATTACGCATATTTACTCATAATTTATTAAGGTCACGAGATATGAACGCATAACAAAGTAATTCATTATTAAAAAAAGGTCACGAGATACAAAGAAAATGAAGTTCACATTTCTTTTCGAAATTTAGGTAATAAATTCTTATGTTACAACATAAATTCCCGAAACCTAATTTTACCACTAATAGGTTGAGCAATATATTTTATTACTTCGGCTAGACTAAATCGAGATCATTTTACTTTATATATATATATGTATATATAATATATATTAGTATAAAATAATTACTTTAAAAAAAAGTAGACTAAACAAATTTAATTTAAACAATGATGACTTGTTATCATTCGTTTCTTATTATAATTCATTCAAAATTTTCATTCAACAAATTAAAAAAAGAAAAAGAAAGAAAGAAAGAAAGAAAGAAAATATTGAATTTTTTTTAAGATTTGACCAATCATAAATTTTTTTTTAAAAAAAAAAATATTACAAAAAAGCCTAAACATATGGTAAACGCCGAAGAGGCTTTATTATTATTATTATTTATTATTATTATTATTATTACTTTTTTGTTTTAAAAATATTTTTTATACTAATTTGATTTAGGTATTTTAACTTTGGTTATCTGCTGACGTTTATGACGTTAGTGACGTAAGTGATGGTATTATTGATATTATTAATATTTATTGATATTTATTGATATTTATTGATACTTATTGATACTATCTTATTGATATTATTGATATTATTGATATTATTATAAAATTACTGAAATAATATCATAAAAAAAAGATTTAAAGAATGTTGGAAAATCCAAATAGAATTTTTTTTTTTAAATCGATTTTTAATTATTTTAAAATCATTTTACTATATTAAGGAGTGTGAACTTTTTTTTTTTTTTTTTTTCTTTGTGAAAGATTATTTAAATTGTACAGATGTTCTTTTTTCTTTCATAAATATTTGATAAACCTAATTTTTTTTTGTGTAACGAATTGCCTTAATTACGTTAGACGACGATCCAGACTCCAAT